CAGTGGGCTCACTGAGATGGGTGGACCAGCTTTCAAACTCTTAACTATGTGATGGAGTTTGGATGTGTTGTCCCCTCCAAAACTCATGTGGAAATTTGACCTCTAATGTGGCAGTGTGGGAAACTGATTGAGTCACGGGGGCGGATCCCTCATGAACGGATTAATGCTCTCCCTGGGGGAGGGGGGATTAACGAGTGATTTCTCGCTCGATTAGTTCCCGCAAGAGCTCGTTGCTTAAAAAGATTCTGGCAACTTTCTCTCTCTCTCTCTCTCTCTCTCTTGCTTCCTCTCGCCATGTGATCTGCTTGTACCTGCCGGCTGCCTGCCACTTTCTGCCATGAGTAGAAGCAGCCTGAGGCTCATGCCAGATGCAGCTGTCCTGGAATCGTAAGCCAAATAAACCTCTTTTCCTTATAAATTACCCAGTCTCAGGTATTTCTGTTATAGCAACACAAACAGACTAAAACACTATCGCATGTTTTTAGGCCCCATTAGAGGATGCATCTTTCTGTAAGTGCAGAGGCGGGCGGGGACCCTGCCTCCTCCACCAGGAAGGTGCATTGCCAGGGGCTGCCGGATGCACCCCCGACCAAGCATGGCACCCACCTCCAGGGAACATGGTGAGTGCCTGCTGGATCAGGAGAGAGGCCTTCTCCCGGGCGGCGCTGAGCTCATGCTCGATGCTCTCCCTGGGGGAGGGGGGATTAACGAGTGATTTCTCGCTCGATTAGTTCCCGCAAGAGCTCGTTGCTTAAAAAGATCCTGGCAACTTTCTCTCTCTCTCTTTCTCTCTCTCTCTCTTGCTTCCTCTCGCCATGTGATCTGCTTGTACCTGCCGGCTGCCTGCCACTTTCTGCCATGAGTAGAAGCAGCCTGAGGCTCATGCCAGATGCAGCTGTCCTAGAATCGTAAGCCAAATAAACCTCTATTCTTNGAGGTGTGAGCAAAGCCATAGCAGCGGGATCAAGGCCCTGGGAGGCGCGGGGACACCTGGCCAGCCAGAGCCACAGCCCCACCATCACCATGGCTGCACGTAGAGCATCTGCACAGGCCAACCAGCCTTGACTCCACCACCTAGGGTAAAGCCCAATAACATTTTTAAGTGTTTTTCTTGCCTTTCTCTACATATGTATATAATAGACTCACTCTATTTTTTCCCTAAAAAAATAGGATCACGGTCTTCACAGAGTTTGTCATCTTATAAACCGTCAACATTCCTCTGCAGGCCCATTTTGGGGGTCCCCTTGAAGTGTCCCTGAATCTACATTTTTGTGAGCCCCAGGAATTTCTGTAAATTCGATCCTTTCAGGTGAAACTTCTTGGCCAACTATGCCAAATGTTATTTAATGCAAANGGGAGCTCTGCTTGCTGGCTCAGCAGGAAATATGCCAGTGGAACAGAGAAGGCAAAATTTGGGAGCTGGGACAGGTTCCGATGAACCTATGAGGGATGAAGAAACAAAGTTTGGGGCCTCGAAGGTATAAAAACATAACATGTCGTGTTCACAGATGCTGTGATGTCACCAGGTGGTTCCTCTTTAACTTGGTATAAAGAGAACTGAAGCCACTCCCTGGGGGACTCTGAGTGCAAGGGACACGAGGCCTCAGGGGTGTGAGCACCAGCCACGAGGTGTGAGCAAAGCCACAGCAGCGCGATCAAGGCCCTGGGAGGCGCGGGGACACCTGGCCAGCCAGAGCCACAGCCCCACCATCCCCATGGCTGCACGTAGAGCATCTGCACAGGCCAACCAGCCTTGACTCCACCACCTAGGGTA